AATTTTGGACAACACTAGCTAGTATATTGTATTAGTTGTATTTTCGTTTATTTATTGTGTATGAGTTAATTTATTTTCCCGTGATCCCACCCCTCACTCATTACTGGACCTCTGGGAAGAGCGGCATGTACAAGGCCGACAGGGCCATCCAGTTTAAATAAAGGTGAATGAATGAATGAATGAATGAATGACCTTTTCATAAAAAGTGGACCAAAAAGTGGACCTTTTCGTAAAAAGTGGACCAAAAAGTGGACCTTTGAGCCTTGTGGGGGGGTTCTTCCGAACCCCCCCTGGCTACGGGCATGGCGTTCGAGGTCCCCTCTAGCAGTGGGAAGAACCCCCCCATTCAAAATCCTGGCTACGGGCATGGATCAGCAAACCTATATGTAAGCTCGTTGCCATCACATATCTCAGTAGCACCAATGACCATAATTGCTATTCATCACAAGGTTCGGGGTGTGCATCGCAGAGCGTCTTCTGTAACGGGACATGTCGACCAAGGAAAAGTTTCTGTCGGGCTTTTTTGACAGATGTGTGCCGTGGGACTATAACTATGGAGACAAGTAAATACGATCACTTCGTAACTTTTCTTAGATAGGTAAATGGCACATTAGAACAGCTTTTTGAAACTATTTTTGTGGTGAAATCAAATATTGTGAAAGTGAAGTTGATACAGCAAGCATGTTTATGAGCCATAGCAGATGATAAACAAGGAAACAACCGCAAAACCACCGGGTCTTAATAAGTCGAACTTACAAATTGCGTTGCAGACCTATTTACGAAGACGTGCTACAGGAAGAGTGTGGACTTGTGACCGTGAAGTTGGAGCATCTCGGATGCTTGGGTTCGTTTTCCCCACCTTCTATCCCTATGCTGATGCTGTACCTAGAATTGAGGTCGTGTAGTGAGTGGATTGTATGGCTGCTACCCAGACCGATATGATGCTATATATATATATATATATATATATATGTGTATGTGTGTGTGTGTGCGTGTGTGTGTGTGCGTGTGTGTGTGCGTGCGTGTGTGTGTGTGTGCGTGCGTGTGTGCTTACACTTGCCAATAGCAATGGGTTGCCACTTTCCTTTGCAGAAATTGACAGCCAGTACAGTTCGTGTGGGGACGATGAGGTGTACCACGATAGTCAGGCCTGTGACGGCACAGAAGACTGCTCAACAGGGGAGGACGAGGCAAACTGTGACGGTAAGACTTTTCAGAGTACACTCGAAAGTCATACAACATTTTAGGAAAAGAGATGCAGGCTGCTTTGACGCAATGGTATTAATCCCGCTCCTCATCCTTGTTAAGGTCTTCAGGTTTCTTTAGACAGCAAATAAATAACTTACTCGTATGCAGTTATATATGTAATGTTATAATACACTTTGTCTATCTGAATAAAGAGACTAGTTTTAAACAAACACGTGTTTTAGATGTCGTAAATATTACGTACCGTGTAAAGATTTTTCAATTTTTGCCGTTGGACATTTACTACATAATTTTCCCATTTTTGGAATGTTGACCACCGTCAGAGGGCAATAAAATTTAATATTTTTTAAATCAACGATATTCAATGCGCACGCTGATGTCATCAATAAAAAAATACTTGTTGTGACTGAAAGGAAAGAACAAACAAACAAACAACAGTTACATGGAACGTACAGTATCTACAATTTGACAGACGTACCGTAACGTCTGCTGAAAAAAACAGCAACCTAATGAAACTAGTCTCGGTCATTGTTAACCTGTCTTCTCTGTTCTCCCCATCACTTAAATTTCTATATTACAGTAAGCTCTCTCTGACCCTTACACTGACCAATATGATCCGTGAATCGTATCCTTATATTGAGTCCGTGAATCGTATCCTTATACGAAATAGTGGGCTTGTGATAACAGATGAGAGGCACTCATGTTTTGCACTTTGTGTTTCCTGAAGAGTGTGCGATGGAATGTCTGACGGTTTTAAGTGACTCCTGCATCCCGAGTGGATGGATCTGTGATGAACTACAGGACTGTTTAGATGGTAGAGACGAGCAGGGCTGTGTGCAAGGTAGGTTTTTGGGAAGTCGCCTCCATAGCATGCCAAAAACTGGGGGTTTTGGGGGTCTTCGGGGTCTTTGGGAGTTTTATGTGCTATTTTCTGATTGCAAATAGACAACATAGCCGGCCTGGTTTAGAACTGGGTACAACAGCCGAAGACCACCAAACCCTCAGTTCTATAAAACAGCTACGGAGACTATTGGGGAAGGGGGGAGGCAAAAAAAAGGCTGACTTCCAGGGCAAATGTCGGATGGTGCCTTCGTACAAAATTTGGATGTATCTTAAGTTTTTTTATCTTAAGTTATCTTAAGTTATTTTTCAAATGAGGGCACATATCAAATATGTATATAGGAAATAGGTAGTGTTGAATAAATTCCTACTTCATGTATTAGATCTTATTTGTAGAAGACCATACAAAAGTCCCTGTACTTTTTCTGTCATTAAAGAATCTCTATATCCATAGGGCTTTGCTTTGTTTGGCATCCATCCATGCATACATGTGTTGTGTACTTTCCGTGACAGGTGTACCCAAACACTGCTTTTTCACCTGCGGTAACAACGTCACCTGTCTGCCGACAAGTCAGCTGGGGGACGGGCGTCAGGACTGTGCTGGCGGCGAGGACGAACGACCCAGCAACAGTAAGTCTGAACCGTAATGAAGATTTGTGCTAGTGAGACATAGCCTTTACAGGGCATCATCATCATCATCATCATCATCGGACGGCTGCAACGCAGGTGACTGCAAGAGCCCTCCGCTTCCTCTTGTCGCTAGCAAGGTTGGCTGCTTCACCGGCAGGTGATTGTAGTCGTCTCCCCAAAAGTGTAGTATTGCACTTGATGTCATTCCTTGGGCTCTACTTGTTTTATCACACGGGCTTCCAAATGTACCATAGAATAATCCAAACGGGTTTCGCCTGAGCCGCGTGCGCCGCCGCGTCGAAAATCCGTATAGTGGATTCGGACATTGGAATTGATGTTGTTGCATTTTTTTTTAGGGGCACCAAATTTTGCCTCATATGGTGAAAACATTCTTGAAAGACGCACTTTCTTGGGTGGGTATGACATAAATAAAATACAACAATACAACGCGGTGTATTCCGGGGATCTCCCTCCGGCCTTTGGGTGACGTGACCCGCGGTCGGGCTGAAGCCTTGGGTGAACCGTGTTGTATTCTATATGTATTGCTTTTCAATATGTGAGGCTATTGTGGTTATTAGATGTGTTTGATTGCAAAAACATGTTCCTGAGTAAGTAAATGCTATTTTGTTGCTTGTTGTATGTAATGATGCTACTTACCTATTGCAACAGTCGGCAAAAAGTGCCTTGGCCGCACTTATTTATATTCAAATGATTACAACTGTGTTGTTACAGTTGAAGAGTCCCTGGGATACAAGTGGGGCTCCTGCAGCCACAACTGCACGTCTGTCTACGGTAACGCGTCATGCGTTCCTGACGCGTTCGTCTGTGACGGTGACGCGGACTGTTCGGAGGAAGAGGACGAGCAGGACTGTGATCGTGTAGACTTCTTCCTCCGTGAGACAGAAGACTGCGGGACGTTCTACTGCAGCCTGCCCGGCTCTGTGGACCCGTACTGCGTGCACGGTCATCTCATCTGTGACGGACACCCGGACTGTGCGTCAGGGGAGGACGAGCAGGGCTGTGGCGGTAACGCGCCGGGCCGCATGTCAACTCAAACCGGCACCACGGGGAGCATCGGACCGACCGTAGAACCGACAAGTGGTCAAGGAGCGTTCCAGGATCAAACAGGTTATAAAGCCAATAACTCTCTTCACGATGTCTACCGTTTATGTATGTGCCTGATACTATAGTAACTTAGCTACCAAATTTTGAATAAATTGATTTTTTCCGGCAGGGGCCTGCCGGGCGGGATTATACTTTTATGGTGAGGTAATATTTCCAAACCGGGGCCCGGCCGGGCTGTTTTTACAACGAAAAATTTGCATTTTATACCAATAGTATACGCAACTAGTTATTTTTTTTTTCAACTTTCAACTTTTTTCGTGCTTTGTTGTCTTTCATACCAAACTTTTCGTTCCACAAGGTTGACCGGCTGGGCCCCGGTTTGGAAATGTGACTTTAGCATTATTTAGGTTGCTGCTGTTCATATTTTTTATTTGTTTTCGTTGCAGAGCTCTATGAAGTAAACTGTGGGCCCCAGGACCAGCCCATGACTTGGATGACAGCGGCTGCACTGGGCGGTCAGATTCTGTATCGCATGACTGTCTAATCTATACAAGGCTTTGGCTGTATGAAACAAAACAAAATTGTTTGGAAAATCTCTACAAGACAGGAAAATAGCACGTGGCCTATAATAGTCTAGCCTTTGTAAGTGTTCGTCCTAAGTTTTATATTAAGTTGTTGATATTACCCGACAATTTGCCAGATAACCAGAAACGGCCAAACCAATAGTGTAGCATAGCATAGCACCGTACTAACACGTACTAATAATAGATATTGAAGTTAGTCTTATTGTACACAAGTTATGTATGATTTAAGAGTGAATTTTCATTAATGTATCTTATGATTGATTATCTAGCTCTAATTCTAGTTCTGTGTGGTGAAAATACACATATCCGTAGCAGCGTATCTATCTATTCTTTAGTGTTTTGCTTTTATCGGTGTAGACATTTTCAAAACGCACGCAGAATTCGTGAAATATTATGTTATTGCCCTTCAAACGTTTTTGTGCAAATAAACTTGTACATGCTCGTGCGGTGTCAGTGTCTTCTGTTGTTTTCCTCACCTTTCCATGACACAAAACACACTTTGCATGTTTTCGAGTGGCCGCGTTTGGAGCTATTACGCTCTGGAAGGTTGCATAGGCTGAAGACATCCAGACACAAGAATCGGACCATAATATGCTCAACAAGAGTTCAACGATCTCATACCTTCGCCAAATGATGTTAACCCTTGCGGTTGACGAATTTTTCAATTTTAATGATTGATTTCGCAAATAAGAGCGTCATCTGCATGGATTACATCAGTTGATCATATTCTCCACCCAATGGCAGCCTTATCTTAACAAAATACTTAAATATTTAAATAGGCTATTCTAGCACTTCCTCATAAATTACGCTAATGAGGTCATATGTGAATAAATTATCTTCATTGATGTTCACCTTCACTTAACTTCCAAATGCGGCAAGTATGAAATGCCCACACGGCGGTCGGTTGCTAGGCTAAAGTCGCATTACTAGGGAGGTATCGGGTTACAGAACGCGTTCGAACGTGGCCGCGCGGGAGTCCCAGGCCGGCCCGGGGGCAACGGGTAAAATTTGAAAATAAACAAAAGTAATTGGGGAGTAAATACTCGTCAAAATAAAATGTAAGAGGTGATTTTGTTTACCTCAAATGTTATTCTTGCACTGCCTTTGCTCCACTTTGTGTACATTTGCTTCCAAATGAGATCAATTTCGGATTTCAAAAAGGGTTCGCGAGAACCAAACAACTGATTTTAAGAGGCCCCGAAAATTAAAAATAAGGT